GTCCGCCGCGGGCCGGTCGCTGACAGCCTTCACCGCCGCCCCCGCCGCCTCTGTCGCCGCCGCCGCCGTTGCCCGCCACGATCGCTGCGCAAACTTCCAGCCCCAACATCAACACGCGGTCTCCGCCAGAGGCTTATCGCTGCTACTGCATGTTCACTGCAAACAGCGCTCTCGTGGCAGCCCACCAGACAGCCCGCCCACGCCACCCGCCCACCTACCCGCCGCCGGGGCTGTTTTTCTCTCTTTCCACTTGTAATATCACCATCGTACACAGTGTAGACGTGCTGTTGATATCAACCAAGTATTAGGGACACTGCTATTCTTTCCATACTTGAAGATTGTGTACTTGAGATAGCAGACAGCTTTTAATTAAAAATTTCGTTTTATTTGCTTGTTAACCGAGTATATGCTGAAATCGAATCTGCTATATCGGTATTGTACCAGTACAGCCAAAGTAAAGAGTTGATAACTTTTATCGTTACCTACCTAAATATATTAACTACGTATACAAATATACAAATATTCAACTTATCGAAAAAATATTCTGGAAAGGTATTGAATTTTTTGCGCCGTGCAGTGCCTCCGGTGTCAACAGCCAAATTCCCATTCTAGTGCTCTTTGTTAAATAAACTGAACAATGTGTTTAAAATATATCAACATGTAAATGAGATTATTATTGGGCTACAAATTGAGAATATTTTGAGGATGCTTTGACAACTTGACGAGAGAAACTAAGACAAACTAAGACTGTCTGAACATATTTTAAGAATGCTCTCTCAAAGGATTTCTCCAAATTTATTTATTCTCCAATTTACATCTTAATTATTTTATTTTAATTCATAATTTACTATCACGTAGTATCTTAGCAACTCATTGAAAAGCAATTTATCGATACTTCTTCTATTACTGGTATCAACTTCATCTAAAGTATATATTGTGATATCGCAACATACCTTCTAATATCTGCAAAACCTGATTTCGTGCGCTCCTTGCTTTTCCACTACTTTTTTTCGGACATAACTGTATTAACGCCTTAATCTAAATAATCAAACACTGAGACCCCACAAAAACATGAAAATATTGAACTATTTGAAGATGCAAAATATATTCTTCTTTTTCTAGGGCATGTATCTAGCTGACAGCCGCTTATCCTCAACGTCCCGAAGGGATGCATATTTGAACATACACTAGACACTAACTCACTTGCGGGATCCTCTGATCTGGGGTCAGCAGAACGCGAGACTCTCCGCGACAACATACAGATAACGAGGCAAGGGACAAACAACCATGCCCAAGGCGAGACTCGAACCCGTAACCCTACGGACCACAGCGCTGAGCGCTCTTAACCATCCAGGTCGGCTTAAATAAATATTAATATTTTTAATAATAAAAATTATGAAAACATTTTAAATATTAAATAATCGAACATAAACTTTTGTTTAAAAATTATGAAACTCTAAGCACTCGCTTAGACGGATTATGCTTGCAATGCTGGGATGCGTAATAGTGGAGGCCTTCGCTCGTTTAGTCGTCGGTGACCCTTTGCCCCCACAGCCCCCCCCCCTCTGCTGCGCTTCCCTCGCGGGCGTCAGCGGCAAGTGGTTCTTGTCACCTTCCGCCTTCAGCTGTCGCGCTTTGAGAAACGGAGCTGCGAACGATGCTTACGCGATGCAAATTTGTTTCGAGGTCTTGGCTCGTGGACAGATAAGCCACTGTGTTCTTACACCTCGTGTGCACGTGCTGCTTTGCATTTCAGCCAGAGGAGGTTTCAGGCTAAGCACGTTTTTAGGGCACCCGATAATTTGTAAACGAAATGTTTAATTGGTTCATTACTTTGCGAAATATGTTAGTGTTACATTTTTAAATGGTATTGGTTATAGCTTATTTTCATGTTCATTTGAATTGTTTCTGTTACCTATTTTAATATTATTTGGAGAATTTTGCTCAGGCTTCTCAAGAAATAATTTTGATTCTAATTAAAGCAACAAAATCAATTGGATGTTACGTGAGGCTTTGTATTCATTCGTTTTGGTTTCCACTTTTGGTCATTTCATTATATCAAATGAATTTACGTGTTTTTAGAATTTATTTGTATTCCTTGCATTATATTCATGAAACTAAATGTACACATTAGTTTGAAATGTACACATTAATTTGAAACATATTTATGTGATAAAAACATTTTATTGACTAAAATTCTGAAACAATTCTTGTCCTAAACCATTAAATCTGAAAATACCATCATCTAAGGAGTAATTAAAATGTACCCAATAGCATACAATATTTCTAAAACAAAAACATTTCTGAAGTTTTAGTTTCTAATAACAAGGCTTTGCAATATTGATCAAATTCCAATAACAGGTACAAGAAATCTTAAATCACAAGGAGCCGAAATAATTCCAAACACAGCTTTCTTTTCCTCGCCGCAAATTGATCTAAAGATAATCATATCTCTCTGAGTCGTTAACAAAATTGACCTTTGCCACAGAGGTTGCTGTGCAACACGACGTTTCAGAACATTTTTGTTCACCTTTTTCTCTTTTTCGTATTTTCTGTTCCCTATTTTCAGCCTTCTCTGTAGTCTTGACCACACTGCATTATTCTTTGCCTAAACGCGCTGCAACAAATATTTGACCGATTAGGTAATGTCGAAGAAAAAATAAAATTATTTGTTAATAACGGGCTTTTTTGAAATATATTTTTAAATTCTATAATAGTGTGTTCTGTACATTACTGTATTTTAAAAATGTTTCGAATAAAACATTTTGGTAAATTTGTGTGATAATTGCGCCCTTTTTTGTATTGGTACATTCTTCGAAACTTCTCCCCAGTCGTTCTTTTTCTTATGGAGGTCACTCGATAAAACTTCGGGCTGCCCAAACGTCCGTTCTTCCCTCGGCGTTGCAAGCTTTTTTTCTCCGCCCACGCTGCTGGAGCAGGACGATCCGGAGATGGAGTCGGCGGCAGCGAATGTTCTGGTTCTGACCTGAGAGCATTCATCTTAATTACCTCTTTTCTCTGCTTTCTCCTTCCCCCTCCTCCTCCTCCTCCTTGATTCTACTCTCATCCTCCCCAACACATCTCCATCCCCCTTCCTCAAGCATCTGTTCCTCTCTTTCCCCCTTCTTTCTTCACCCCTTCCTCCCCCGCTCCACAACTTCCCCTCCTCCCCTCCTACACCTCCCGTATCGTGCTCTTCTTCGTACCCCTCCTCTGACATTTCTCCTCCCTCAACCTCCCCCTCTTCCTCCTCGCAGCCTTCTGTTCCTCCGGCGGCGATGTCGCTCGCAAGAAACGCGAACCCCACTCAGGAACAACAGACTCCGCCGTGAAGAATGGAACGCGATCTTGTAACTAATGCAAGCGCTTTGAAATATCGTCGTTGCCTCGACTAATGACCGCAGCGCAGTGCACCTCGCCACCGGCGCCCGTCGAGAGCAGCGCAGGTCGGAAGAGTTTCCGCGCGCCGTCGATTTGTTTGCGCTTCCGGCGCCAGCAAATGGCGGCGCCGAGCAAATGGCGGCTAAATGAGTTCTGCGCTCTTCGGGGTTGACTCTTTGCAAGGTACCTCTAAGAGGTGTTTCAAGAAACTAAAGTACAATTAGGTAGAATGGGAAGTTTTATAAAATTAAAAAGAAGCAAAATCTCTCATTGTCGAGTCCTGAATGTTTGAGATTCACCTTCTTAATATATTTAGTAACATATGTTGTTTTTTAAACAAGATAGAATTGTGCATTTCTCAAAAACACATTCATGCGTACATAGCTAATTATTTTGACGATCATGGGGTTTTCAAAGACAGGTTTGCAATTGTTTAATGTTTTCAAGAAATTCTCGTTTGTAGACAAGCGTGAATGTTTATTTACCAGGTAGTTTTGTTGCAGAACGAGACGTTTTGCAAGATGAAAGTGTAGTAGAGAAGTTTAATTTACAAAGTATTTTAAACATATTCATGGTATTAATATTATCGAAAAACAATATTTCAGGATTAAAATCATGACAAATAATATAAATCAATTGTACTGCATACAATTTAATAAAGTTTTATATCTGTTATGATAAGAAAAATTGGATTGTTTGCATCCCAAAAACAATTTACGGCCTAGAAAGGATTACTATCACGCCGATTACAAAACCTTGTTCCATAAATAGAAAAGAACACTATTACATAGAATGTAGTGACACTCAGAAATTCTTATAAAGTGAGACGTTTTCTTGCAGAAATGAACAATCTTTCATTTCCTGCACATGCGCAAGTAAAGAAAGATTTTTAAAGGATTTCCCTCACCACCTTCCTTTTCTGGCTGTGCCCCACTCCAAACTCTGTTTTGCAACAGATTACGAAGCACTTGATGTGTAAACGCAATCCACCCTCGCTTCTGCCATGGTGGACGGAAGGCCGAGTTCCTCGCTACATTCCCACGTCAAAACGGCCCCGCTCTCCAGAGGCCTTTTCTCAGGCGCTCTTCAGTTGGAGCGAGGCAGCGAGGAGCTGGGAGGAGGCCAGAAAGCGGGCCAGTGGCGAGGGAGTCGCGGGCGAGAAGACGTCGGCGGCTGGATAGAAACAGATGGCGTCCAAATTGATTAAGATTCCGGCGTCTAGGGGGGGGGGAGCGCCCTCAAAAACGAAGAAATGAAAGATGGTGGAATGAGATAGGGAGAGTTTAGTGGCGGAGAATGTAAACGAAGTGAGAATGAAGATGCTGGCAGAAAAAGATTGGAATTTGAAATAATAGATGTTGGCGGTGAG